CTGGAGCCACCGCAGCCGCTCCTGGCCCTGAACTGCCTGGGCCTCTGCCTCAGCCTTGCCCTGGGACAGTGCCCTCAACTCCCCTCGCAGCACCTGCAGCTCCTCCACCTCCTGAGCCTCCCTCCCAGGCAGGCCGGGCCCTGGTGCCCCCCAAGCCTTAGCCTCCTCCTCCGTAACCAGGGCCTGCAGCTCCACCCTCTCCGCTTTGGCCAGACCAGGTCCCAGCTCCCTGAGCAGCTTCTGAGTCTCTTCCTCCTTGTGCTCCGTGGTGGCATCCTGGGCCGGTGGAATCTGAGCCAGTGCCCAGTGCTCCTCAGCCTGGTCTTGGGCGCCTTGGCGCAGCTGGCAGCAGGTTTCCAGCAACCGCTTGCGCAGACTCTCAGAGGTAGCCAGGTGCTGGCGCAGCTCCAACACCTCAGCCCTCAGGACCAGCAGCTCTGCAGGGGCACCTGGCTCCCGGCCCCGCTTCACAGTGCCCATGGATCGGGGACCCCGGGCTGAGGGACCTGGGGGAAAGCAAACATAGCAGAGAGGGAGAGGTTAGGGGGAGAAGGTGCCAGAGGGCTTTATTGGTCCCAAATTGGGCTAGTGCAGGATAGAGACAGCTTCTCCAACCTCTCCAGAGGCCCTCCATGGTCCCTGAGACACACTCCCAGGCCTCCTTCATGACACCCCTCCCCACAGACACCTCCCCTCCCACCTCCAATCACCTGCTCCCCTCCAGGCCTCCCTGCCACAGCCATGGGCTGCACCCCCAACCTAGAGGGTCAAACATCCAACCTTGTCCACTGCCCCCCATTCAGTATCCCCTCGTCTCCCCCACCTTTGACACCCCATTCCCAGGGCTCTGTCTTCTCTTCACAAGCCTCACTCTGACCCTACTCCCCTATCTTACCTCTGACCTTTCCAGCTGCCTCTCGTTTCTCGGGTGCCCTCTCCAGCCGGGAGGTGCTGAGGCTGCGCGGGCCACAGCCTGGGGGGCGCCACGCTGATCCCCCCCGGCCCTGCTGGAGACAGGTGTGTGAATGAAATGGGCTCTGACCAGGGCAGGGGCCTGGCTGGCTCAGAGCGGTGGGGAATGGGGTAAGGGCCTTTCCCCTCCAGGGGGCGCTGGCTCTATTTACCCATTAAACTGCCCCCTCCCTCCCTTGGCACAAACCCCCCTTCACCTTGTCGGGTGGGTGGGTGGGGGGCACAGGGATGTCCGACTTGGGGCCCCGCTTCAGTTCCTCCCGATGGCGCTGCTCCAGCTCTGCCAGCTCCTGCAACAGAGATGAGGTGATGGGCACCATGACAACCATTGGAGCCCAGAGCAGGGGCTGGAGAGACCCCAGGGGCCTCTTGTAATGAAGGGGGGATTCAGCCTGGTGGGACCCCACCCGTAGCTGAGCCCAACACAGCCCTTTCTGGTCCTTCGTGAGGCTGTTCTGGGCTGGAGAAACACTTGGGTGAGGAGAAGGGTCTGGCCGTAGAGGGGGCTGTAGCATAGGGGGAGATTGGTGGGGTCGGGTCACAGGCCAAGGGGGGGAGAACAGTGGTCAGGGCACTGTAAGGAAGGCGGGGCAGTGCAGGGTGAGCGGACGATGAGGGGAAGGGGCTGTGAGGTGGGGATGGGATGAGGAGCCCCGGAGAGGAGGCAGTGTCATGTTGGAGGGATTGTGCTGGCGGCGCTGCACAACAGGGGTTCTCCCACCTGGTGGTGCTTCCTCTCCTGCTGCTCCAGGCGGCGCTGCCCTGCCCCTGCTTTTTGTCTCTGGCCCCTAAGCTCCTCCAACAGCTGCTGCACTCGCCCTTGCAGGGCACTCAAGATGTGGGCGAGCCCTCTTGTGGCTCTGTGCCAGCCATGGAGAACCCACAGATACACCCCCCCAGCTCCCAAGGGTGCCATCTCTCACCCAGCCTCTGGAGGCACCAGTCCCATGTGTCCTGATCAGCCACCACAGCTGGGAGGGGATCTACAGCAGGAACATAACTGGGGGAGTGAAAGGATCCCTCCCCTGTGGGGCTGCCCCACTGAAACCTGCATCCTCTGCTCTAGGCCTCTGATCCCTGCAGCCCCTGTGCTCCAAGGACTAGGGAGCCACCTCGTGGCAGCAGTCAATATTGCACCTTGCAGCAAGTGCATGCCCCCCCGTGTGGCAGCAGGTGGTACCGCATCCTGCAGCAGCGCTCACCCCTAGGAGCAGCAGGCGGCACTGCACCTTGCAGAAGCTCCCTGAGCCCCCACGTGGCCCTTCCCACCCAGTATGAAGCTGCCCATTTTCCCTCTCTTCTCTCCCAAGCTCACCTTACTGACTGCCTGGTCCCGCTGCTCTGTGCACTGGGCCAGTTCTTGCTGCACCGACTGCAGTTGGCCCCTTGATTCCCAGGCCTCCGTGTCAGGGGGGCCGCATCCTGGCCCTTCAGGGAAGACAGTAAGAGTGAGAAACAGCAATGCTGTTCCAACGCCCTCAGTCACCTAGGGCCATTTCCCCCCCGCCGCTCTCCATCACCATGGGTCTTGTACAGGCTTCCACCTCTGGCACCAGAGACTGACTTGACCCCACAACCCTTGAGTCTAGTCGTCCACCCACCGCCCTTGGCTCATCCTCCTTCCCCCACCATGACAGGACACCAGCCCCTGTTCTTTCCTGTGCCCAGTGTGCAGCCCCACTTTTAAGGCTTGAGCTCAGCTGCCCTCCCCCCAGTCTTCAGCCAGCGCTCTGCCTTCCCCTGGACCAACTCCCAGCCCCTGTGTAATCAAATTGCCCAGAATGCTTCATTCCCAGGCATTGGAGATCAACCTGGCTCTAAAGAGGTAAGACCCCTAATGCCCCTCCACTAGCCCAGCCCCTCTCAGATCCCCACTACAGGGAGGGCAGGTTGGAAGCTAGGTGACCTGCTCACAAGGAGAAACTGCCATAGCTAGGTTGCACATGAATCAGTTACCCCCCCCCCCTTCGTCTTTCTCAACCTTACTTGAGTTTTACCTTCATTCTCTTCTCTAGGTTCCTCCCCAGGGGGTGGGATCCCCTGGCTGTCCTCTGGGGGAGCAGGGCCCCCAGGAGGGACACTGTGCCAGGCACCCCTGTGATGCAGAGGCTGCTCCTCCTCCAATGTGAGGCTGCTGGGCTGCAACTACAAAAGGGGAGACAAGGGCATGGGGGATACAGGCCTTTACTAAATGCACCCCAGTTTATGGGGCAGAGGCTTCAGGTCAGGAGTGAGAGGCACCAGTAAAGGTAGAGGTGGGAAAGCCCAGGTCTGGGATAAGCAGGGGCTGGGAACCAGGGCTGGGAGAGGCCGGCAGAGCTGGAGGTGGGGGAATCTGGAGGGGGCTTGTGATTGGGGTTGAGGGCACCCTCTGTACTCACTCTCATGCTGGGCATTTGGGATCTGTTCTCTAGTCGGGGGAGTTGTCCCCATGTGCCCAGCTCAGGCCCTGTGTGGAGACAGACATGGTCAGCTCTGGAGGGCCAATGACCAGCTCGCTAAGGGGGTCCAACTCCCCCCCCCCCAACAGGCTGGCACAAGCTCTAATCCCCCAGCAGTCTGGGACAAAAGCAAGTCCCCCTCCCTCCTGTCCTCCTCACCTTCCCTGTGGGGGGCCCAGCAATGGGTCAGAGAGGTGCTCAACCGCAGGTTATCCAGCTCTGCCTGGCACCTGGAGGGGGACCCCAGAGAGTGATTAGTGCTGCATGCCCAGGGCCCCTCATGCCCAGCCCCAGTGCTCCCATCCCTATAGCTCCACCAGTCCCCTCACCCCAAGACTGCCTCACTCAACCCCATTCCCCCACACTGCACAAGTGTTTCCCCATCCCGACACCACAAACCACAGCCCCTCCTCCACCCTGAGTACTGCCTCCCCACTCTCATGCTGCCCCCTGATCCTGCCAGCACTAGCACAACCCTATACCCCTCAGATTCCTCCACTTTTCTCCAGGCACCTTCCCCACCATCTCCTCAGCTCCCACCATCGTTTCCCCTACTGCGCCCCCACCGTACCCCCACAGCCCCATGGCACTTCCTCTGCCTGCTCCTGGGTAGCACCCCACCTAGTGCCCTCCTTCAGTGGCAGGCACCACAGCCCTCCAGCATCCCCAGCGCTCCACTGGCACCCACCCCACCTCCCTGGCTGGTACCTCTGCAATTCCTCCTCCAACTCCTCAATGCGCTGGGTGGCCCGGCCCAGCTGCCCTTCTAGCTGGCTCAGCTGTGCCCCCTTGCCCTGGAGTTCGCGGCTCAGCTGCTGGCGCCCGCGCTCCAGCCGCTCGCAGGCCTCAGCCAGGTCCCTCCGCTCCTGGGCCAGCAGCGCCCACGTGCCACGCTCCTCCTCGTGCTACAAGAGATGGGGCATGAGTGTGTGCGGCTAGTGGGGAGAGGCCCAAGTGTGCACAGCAGAGAGGTGTGTGCATTGGGTGGTGGGAATGGGGACATGAATGACCCAGGCCAGGGCGAACTGGCTGGCTCCGGGGCATGGGGAATGGAGGAATGCCTGCAGCCTGGCCACTGATTCACCCATAGCGGTGCTTGGCCTGCCAGGAGCCAGGGGTGGAGATGGGCATGGGGGTCACCCAGGTACCTTCTGCCTCTGCTTGTGCAGTGCGGCCTCCAGTGTGTCAAGCTGTGCCTGCTTCTGGACCCGCTCCTTGGTGGCCCACTCCAGACGCTGCTCCAGCTCCCTCACCCCCTGCAGTGCCCGTGCTGGCAGCCCCTCCTGCCAAGCCTCGCCTGGCCAGCTCATGGTGTCCTCTCCCCAGCCCAGGGCTGGGCCCCTCCAGCCCCCGCTGCTTGCTCCAAGGACAGACGCTGCCAGGATGCAGCAGGGATTAGCAGGGATTAGGCCTCACAGCCCAGAGAAAGCCAGAGCGCTAGGAGGCGCTGGGCCACAGAGAGCTGCGGGGGCCTCCACAAGGTGTGCTGGGCCACAGAGAGTGGGGCAGGGCTCAGCAGGGGGCGCTGGGCCACAGGAAGTGGGGCAGGAGCTTGGGGGGGGGTGAGGACAGACGCTGCCAGGATGCAGCAGGGATTAGCAGGGATTAGGCCTCACAGCCCAGAGAAAGCCAGAGCGCTAGGAGGCGCTGGGCCACAGAGAGCTGCGGGGGCCTCCACAAGGTGTGCTGGGCCACAGAGAGTGGGGCAGGGCTCAGCAGGGGGCGCTGGGCCACAGGAAGTGGGGCAGGAGCTTGGGGGGGGGTG